AAATGCTCAGCAGATAAGCCCAAGCAGGGCCGCGCAAACTGCTTGTTCCTTGGAATTCCCAACATTCTTTGGCAGGAAACACCCGGGGCAATGAAATCTGTACAATCCTAAACGCCTGTTTCCTTCAAAGGGCAGTCTACACTCGCCGCCTCACCTCAAGCCCCTTCGATGGCCTTCTCCCCGCTACTTCACGGCATGCCGGAGACCGCCAAGGTCACCAACAACTTCCTCAGCGCTAAATCTGAAACACGTTGCCCCTCTGTCTTCCCTGACGGCTTTGCCGAGCCTCCCATCTACCCCTCATGCCCCAGAGCCTCGCTCGGCCAACTTCTCGTCTCATCCTCAGCGTCTCCTATGTGACTTTATCCACGTAAGGTTTCGAGGGTCACCTCTGAGTGCTAAGGACCCTCCATCTTCACCTCTAGCACCAACCCCTCCACCTCCTCAGGCCCAGACCTAACCCGCCAGCCGCTGACTGTACACCCCAACGGCTCCTCCCGGGTACCAGCAGAGGTAGCTTCATCCTCAGGGAGCCGGGGCCAGAATTCCAGACGTCATCTCAGAGCCGTCCTCTCCCTCACCTCCTGCACACTCAGTCTCTGTCTCCCCATCTCTCCTGTCTCGGTCATCGCTGCCCACTTGTCTCTCCCCAACGGGGACCCGCCAGCTCTCAACCTCCAGCATCCCTTACCTTCAGTCCACAGCTCATCTTTCCCCGGGGGCCGCTCTTGCCTCCTCCCCCGCAGCTCCCTCTGCCTTGGGAAACCCTTCCCTCTGCCTGAATAACTCCTTATTGTCACAAGGGACCCAAGGTGTCACCTTGCCATCGTTTCATAAATATTTATTAAGCACCCACAATATGCTCGCCACTGATCTAAGCACAAAAAGCTAAAAAGGCACCAAAGGCCATTATATTCCAGCTGGTGAGCAGGTAACAAGAACCAAAGGCTGGGAGAGAATGCATGGTCAGGTGGATGCATGGTCAGGTGGATGTGTGGTCAGGCGGATGCGTGGTCAGGCGGATGCGTGGTCAGGAGGATGCGTGGTCAGGCGGATGCGTGGTCAGGTGGAGGTACGTTCCAGGCACAAAAATAAAGCAGATGAAGACAGTGGCCAGAGACCCGCCCCTTTGCAATAAGTAGTTGAATGGGTTTCTATCATTTGAAATGCAAAGGGTCTTGAAGACCTGTTCCCAAGCCCCAGCTCCTAGGGCTCCAAATGCAGGGGAGGGAGCAGAGAGAGCAGGTGTGCAGCGCAGGTGGCCACCTCCCTGCCTCCACTCCTGCAGCTCCCTGCTTCCTGAGCTTGGCTCTCTCTGCACCCACTGCCCTTCCAGCTGTCGCCTCAGCAACCACAGCAGCAGCCTTCCCCTCCCACGTCGTGGCCCAGGGCTCTGCAGGGCGCTGTACAAACAACAGAGCCACCATCATGCTCACGACATCTTTAACCAGGACGTGCTCACGACTGATCGCACGTGCACCAGGATCAACTCCACCGAGAGGCCCAATGCTCAGTCTGCAGGGAGCTCAGCATGGGTGGGCTGAGGGGGAGGAGCCCTGATGCCCCAGCTTTGACACCTGTCTGTCTCTCTCACAGACGGCTCCCTTTCACAGCCCCTTTAGTGTAAACTGTCACTTGCTTTATCCTTGATAGGATGGCAAAGGGTTTCAGCTATGACGGGGCAGAGTTTGTCAAATTCACAGTGTGCCCTGAAGATAAAGTCCTAACTGTGGAGCACATGAGCTGCAGAACATGGACATGGAAAAGCAGGTTTCTGCCATCTGTGGCTGTGACCCCAGGGGCCAGGGCTTCAGCTTCCCTTCTCCGAGTGCTCCTCCAGTTTCCTTGGGCTGAGTGAACCCCTTCCAGGCTCCTCAGGAAGGAAGGCACGCTTAGCTTTCTACAGCACGTGTGCTCCCAGAAGGCTGTGTGCAAACTGGATTTCTGACAAATCTGGCAGCAGCAGAATGTGTGAAGGCCCCGGCGGTGAGTCCCAGTATGATTGGCCAGGAGTCACTCTCTATCCACTGGGTGTTGGGTGTACTTACGATGGGGCTTCGGGTAGAGAAGTACAGAGGTGTTGTTACTGACACCACAGAGCCTGGGGTCTGGGTTCCTAGGGCTGGTCCCTAGGGCACTCCGAGACGCACCATCGACTGAGGCCGATGCAGACTCCTCCAGAGACTCCCCACGCCCACCTTGTCTGCTGGGTTGAGGGGATGCATTCGCCTCCAGTTCTGTCACTGGACTGGTCCCACCACGAATTCCATCCTGCTCTTTTTGGCTAGGGCCAAAACGAGTGCCACCCTGGTCACCTCTGCTCTGTCCTCTTAGCCCCCCGCTCCTGTCCTTCCTAGTGTGCCCTCTGGAACGTCCACTCTGGGATAAACAAACTCCTCCACCCTCAGCTCCTTACAGGAATTCCCTGAGCTAACACACCAGCCAGACCTACAGCTCTTCGGGGAGGAAGCTCTTCCTCCCACATCCCACGTGCCAGGGTCAGGGGCCCACGGTCCTCACCCCAGGGCCCTTCCCGGCCAGTCCCTCTCTCATATACCCCAGCTCCTTCCACGCTCACAGCATCTGCACTATTATTCTGCGCAGACAATTTACTGTTGATGGCTGGCTCTTCCCAGGTTTTCAGATGGCAAATAATGCGGAGGCAAATAACGGTGTAGAAAAAAATATCCACACCATCTTAGGATAGATTCCCCAAAATGGAATTACTGCATCCAACGAGAATAACATTCTTAAGTGGCACTCAACACACTGACCAATATTCAGTGTTTCCGCTCCACGAAAGAGACAGAATTGTAACACATCTTCAAGGGTTTTAACTACACCTTTTGGAAGACCGCTGAGAAGCATGAAATGCTTTAGAACAGGAATTGGCAAAAGATGACAGATGGGCCTGGCCTGGCTCACTAAGTTCTTTAAATATGTGTATGGAACGCAACTCTGGCCATTCGTTTACTTACTGTCTGTGGCTACTCTCACACCACAGAGCTGGGTCAGTGTGCAGAAGAAGGTACAGTCCCCAAAGCCAAAGGCATTTACTATCTGGCCCTTTACAGAAAGCTTCTGCTGACTCATACATTAGACAAATGATTATAAAGATTCCGATAGTGACAGAGCATATCTAGAGGGTCCCCCTGTAACTGCTCTCAGTAAGGTGGGGGTTTTTGTTTTGTTTTTAATATTTCTATTGATTTCAGAGAGAGGAAGGGAGAGGGGGAGAGAGAGAGAAACATCAGTGATGAGAGTCATTGACTGGCTGCCTCCTGCGCGCCCCCTGCTGGAGATCAAGGAGCCTGCAACCCGGGCATGTGCCCTGACTGGGAATCGAACCGCGACCTCCTGGATCCTAGGTTGACACTCTGGCCTGGCAGTAAGCTGGTTTTTAAGTATTATTTTGGTACTAATTTTTTTTTTTTTAAAGAAGAATCAGAAGTTTGTCTTGGATAAAATCATCAAGGAAGGCTTTGTGCTCCTAAAACGGCTCCCCAGGCTACCACAGAAATACAAATAGAAATTAGAATTATTTCATCAAAGGAATCCTTGAGAAAACAGGAAACATTTTATCTTGGTTTTAAAAAGGAGGAAAAACAAGATAGCAAGGGATGAAAACAGGAGAAAACGATTAACAACAAAAGCCAAGCGATGGTCCGAGAGATGGACAATATCTGATGTTGTTCCAAAAATGTGTGGCCCCCCGAAACGCGGGCCCAGAGGTGGGAAGAGACTCTGGTTGCTGTTCCAGTGACAAAGTGTTCTCATTTCCCAAAGGCTGACCCCAGCCATTTGAACAGCTGTGCACACAGGAACACCCACCCCCCACGGCACAGGAATCCACGCCGTGCACACGAGGCCCACGGCTGAACAAAGTCCAGAGCTCGCGCTGCGTCCACAGAGCCTGGGAGAGAACAGGCCTTCAGCTGGGGAGGGTAGGCGCATGC